CCCCAAAACCCCAAAACCCCAAAACCCCGCTATGATGATAATGATTGAAATTAATGATTAAATTAATAAAGGAAAACAACAATTTAAGAACCATCAAGCTTGAAAGTTTTTAATTATGGGTTATTATTATTTATTTCAATAAAAATACTTGAATTATATGTTTCATTTGTTTTAATTGTAAGGGTGATGCACTTCAACAAAGTTAAATTTGGAAGGAAACATAGAAACTTTTCTGCAAATGAAATAGATAACTTAAATTAAGTAAACTTATCTATATTCTGAATTAAGTTATAGAAAACTTAAAATTTATTCGATACATAAAAATAGTCAACAATAAACACAATATTAGGTCCCCCAATAGTAGCTCTCGCTTCAGCCAAGCTACCTTGATATCCATGTACTCAAAATCAGAGCAATACCAATTCAATATTTAATAAAGATTCAATAACAACATCATCTATTCTTGGAGCCCCTGATCTTATCGCTTTCATTTCAGAGCCAGCTAATGCTGATTCAATCCAAATGATTTAAATTTAGGGTAACAGTATTCGAAAAACAATAACAAACAATATTATGAATGAATTAGAGTGACAAAATAAATTAAAACCTAATAGTACGCATATTACAAGGCTAAAAGACCTTATTGTATTCTACAATTAAAAATCCGTTATTTTAAAATGATTAATTAAACTATATTTAATATATAAAAAAATTTCTTAATTTATCTCGTTATTTCTATAGTTACCTTTTAATGAGTATTGTCCCAAATACAGAAAAGCCGGAAGATGAATAGAATCAAAATGTCTGGAACTCAGAGGGTCAAAATGTTACTAAATCTTTACTTTTAGATGAAAGTAAGGAGAAGTTATAATTGGAAGTTGAAAAAAGAAGATAAGAGAAAGAAGCATTAAGAAAAGAAGAAGAAGATTAGTACAAAACTGTGTAACTTATCCCATACATTTATAAGTCTATTGATGGAAACGTTTAAACATATATTCTACCTTAAGATTAAAAAGTATTATACACAATAGTGGAAAGCGATAAAGGTGAATTTTTTTTCAAAGTGTTCAATTTTAAGACTTTTGAAATTTTGAATGAGCAACCATTTAATGAAAGTAAATATGAAACCTAAATCATGAGTTTATCACCTGATCAAACAAAGATTATTCTACTTGATTCTTCATTAATGTCATTTGAAATTCTATAAATTGATCAATATATGCTAAAAGATACTATATTCATATTTGAGGCAGGACTCGAATGATTGGCCAAAATTTATTGGATAGTAGAAGACTATATAATTTTAGTAATTGATCAACTCTTTTTCTAACTTAAATGGAAAGAACTAGACTCTCGATGCAAATATTATGATTTTATTAGAAAACACCCGTTTTAAGAAAAGGAGAGCACATAAAATTATAAAATTGATAAATGTGATGATAAGCCAACCTTCTGCAATCTTAGTGGCTTACCTGAACATAAATATAAATTAATCTTTGGATTATTAGCCATTAATAGTATAAAGAATAAGAAGACATATCTGTTTTAACTCTAAGATTAATTCAAAATGATAAAAGAATTCGATGGAAAATTAGAATTAGTAGAGAATCAAGATAAGGGTTGTCTGATTAAAGATAATAAATTAACTATTATAGATCTAGATAGCTTGAGTTTCACAATATTAGCTTCATTTAACTACCTAGATACTGATTAGGCTCATATCTTATATTGCTACATCATAAATGACTTTCTCTATTAAAGGTAATATGAACTGAATCTTCAAACTTCTTTCTTAAGAGTGCGCGATATATAAAATGGTGGTGAATTGGTTAGCAACATTCCTATACCCAGTTATAATTCATTGGTAACAATTAATGAGGACCAAACATTTTATTTCAATAAAAATGATTAACTATGTTTTATTACAAACATATTCAGGACTAGCATTTAAAAACCATTGGCTAGAATCGATGAAAGATACAAATCCAGGAATTTGCATGTCAACCAAGATTAAATGCTGATTGGATTTGATCAGAGGTTTTAAATGACAGATACCAAGACTGGATATATTTAAAGATTTTTTGCACCTTCAAAGATCTCAAGTCTTAATTCATTCTTAATATTAGAGTAGCAAAATTTAATCATAATTTCTTACTGAGATGAAAATAATCGAGATACAGTGGTTCTTTACTAAATTTAAACTAAAGCTTATTCTTATGGTTATTTTTAGGAAGTTTAATGTTTTTACTAAACAAAAGATGACCCTTATACAGTTATTTTGGCTAGTTATTCAGATCTTATTTTAGTGAAAATTGATCCTAAAAATACATCTTTCAGACATAAATATTTGTAGAGAATGGTTAATAATAACTTAAAATCATAATTTGAAGAAATCAGAAATTAATCAATTCTTTTTGTTAAAAATTCTGATGGAAAACTTTTGAAATATTTTGATAATTGGTCTAAAAATGAAATTTTGATTCCTACAAGAATTTTTTAACGAATTCAAGTTTCTGGAAAATATTTAAAGATTGTTGGTTTGCCTAAGGATACTAAGAAAATTTTAGAGATCTATGACTATGATACCTAAGAATTATAAAAGTAACTTTGTTATAAACTAAATGTGGTATCATTTATCTTAATGTAAGATAATTGCTTAAGTCTTCTATATGACAACTCATTTCATCTTCAAAAATTCGTCGGTTAAAAGCAAATGTCATAAATCATAAAAATTGAGAATGTTTTCATTAATGACTTCAAAAATATGCTCTCAAAAAAAGATGGAGAAAACTTTCAGATTTGGACTGATTAAAGGGATTATCTTAGAATTCAGTTAAATAACTTTAAAAAGACTGGAATTTTGGACCCTATTTGTGTTCAAAAGTAGGCTACTCTTGTCAGAATAGATGGTGCTAAAGATACCTACTCCTTTTATGACGAATTATCTTAGCAAACAGGCTTTATTAACAGTTTATTTTCTCAGGAAGGGCTGATGAAAGTCTACAACTCTCATTCAAATAGAACTCCAACAGATATTATCAACAGTTTCAAAAAAAATGTTCATTAAGAGCTACTATCTTATATTCCTAATGTTCCAAGCTTTTTATACTAAATTGCTCTTAAACCTACCATTCTTGAAGAATATCTTAAATCATTAATCTTAATTGACAAACGCAAAATACCAATTTTGATTCAGATGAATCAAGCTGATCATAAAACTCCACTCAGCATTGCTATTGAGTAAAAGAAATAAAAAAGCATAGAAATTTTATTGGAAATTTTGATTAAATTCTAAAATCACCCGATCTTTTCAAAATTTATAGATAACAATTTGTGTGATATCATCGATTAGAACATTGATTTGAGAGAGTACTTTGAAAGCAATTTGACTATGTTTTAGATCAAGGACGAGACTTATCCATCAGTACATTCTGATTCAAGCACTCTAATTTTGGGTCTTAACTTCAAAAATTATAATGAGTACTATAACAAATCAGATGAATTATTTAATGAAAAGTTAATGATTAATAATGAAAAATCAAAAGTGTCGATTGAATACTTTTTAATAAATCTACCTATAACTTTGACAAAATAGCCCAAGAGATTTATAGAAACAATTTGTAAAGCTACCAAAATCAGTTTATTTGAGAACACTTGTGTTCAGACTATAATTGATTACAAATGGGAGTAATATACAAAAGCATTTTATATAAAGCATTTCTTCCTATTCCTTGCTTTTATTGTGTCACTAATCACAGACACTTTTGTTTCAATTCAAATGAAGAGAACTCTTGATGAAAGCTAAAAAGAAATAAATTAGTATTTTTGGACTGCTCTTTTTATTTCAGTAGGATTTAAATCTATTTGCTTTATTCTCTTAATCTATTTTGCTCTATATGAACTAAAAACAAAAGAAGCTCTTGGTTCCTGGGGCAGATACTTTGAATCTTTCTGGAATATTTTAGACTTTATATTGATAGCTTTATATGCTTTTGTTTTCGTTATTGACATTATGGACTATTTTGATTTTTCATTTTTTACAGATTCAACTTCAAAGATTCTGCTTTGTCTTTTCATATTCTTAGCTTTTATTAAATTTTGCTATTTTATGAGAATTTTGAGTGGATTCAGTTCTTTAGTCTACATGCTTTTGGGAGTGTTCTTGGATATTAGATATTTTTTAACATTTTATCTAGTCTTTATAATTTTGTTCAGTCTTCAATTTTCTGTTCTCTTTAATGGAAGTACACCTGAACAATACAGCGGAATAAATTAATTTGGTTACTTCATAATGGCCTTTAGATTATCGACTGGAGATTTTGACACCGATGGCTTCAGTGAACTTCCATAAGAACTTATTATAACAATCTGGCTAATATGGATATTAGCTGTTGTTATTTTGAATCTTATTCTTATGAATTTCATTATTGCAGTTATTTCATAAAGTTATGAGAGAGCAATGTAACGTTTAATTCCACAGAACTATGCTATTAGAGCAGAATTTATCTATGAAAGAGAACTTTTCATGTAAAACAATGAAATTAGTGATGAAAATTTCCCAAGATATCTGCTATTGAGAAGAAAAATTATTGAGGAAAATGAAAATAAGGAATGGCAAGGATTTGTTAAGGACATAAAGACCTCATATAAAGCTAATACAAATAACATTAAGGTGTAAATGGAGCTTGTCAGGCAACAAATGGCCAAGCTTGTCAACAAGTCTTAAACTTCTGAAATGAAGGAACAAATTATGAAAGAAATCACTAGCTCTAAGGATACATTTACAAAATAAGCCAATGATCTAAGTGATAGAATGAAAGCAATAGAAGATATGATTTGGCTTTTGATACCTGATGATAAAAAAGAGGAACTGAAAAAGAATTAAGAAGATAAAAAATAATGATCTTCATAAAAATATTAATT